TAGGGTCAGGAACACAAACATGTATTCCTGACCCTATAGTGCTAAATCCACCATATAGCTGGCTTGCCCCCCTTAGCCCCTCTATAAAAGTTTAAAACTCACCTTATTTCCAGCGCTGTGCGGGTCTGCTGGCGCTGGCTCCGCCCCCTTTGTGGCATCATAAAAATGGCAGATTTTTAGCCAATCCAATGCTTTTGATTGGCTAAAATCACCATGGGGGTGGGGCTAAATGCCGACTGGGCCAATCAGGACCTCCTCATAGAGATGCATTGAATCAATGCATCTCTATGAGGAAAATTCAGCATCTCCATGCAGAGCGTGGGGACACTGAATGGCAGGGCTGCCTACTGTGCAGCCCTGAACCAGGAAGTGGCCACTTGGAGGGTACCTAGGGGCAATGTAAACACTGCCTTTTCTCTGAAAAGGCAGTGTTTACATAAAAATGCCTGAAGGGAGTTATTATACTCACCAGAACAACTACATTAAGCTGTAGTTGTTCTGGTGACTATAGTGTCCCTTTAAAACTTGGGGACACAAGCAATATATACAGAAGGACAACATTCTTCCTTACTGAGGTTGCCAACAGAAAACTGGAAACACAAGACAGAGAGTATTATGCATCTCGGACCAACACACCGCAGTGTCACGTGTTACCCCCAACATGGGAGGTAAATAATATATATATTAAAATACATTCCCCTACATTCCATTGTGTACTGTGCTAAACACACAAGGTAACTCAAAAATCCTACAAAATCGGTGTGCAATGTGTGATACACTCAGAATGATGTCAGATACTTAAAAAGTCTGCCTTATACCGACGTGAAACTGCTCTAAATAGACATCATATTAAGTATTTTATACACTTGTGCACATTGTAAAATTTGGTTGGCCAATTCAATTCAAATCAAAAATATTTTATTTTTCCATGCAGTGGCTCGTCTCGTCCAAATTTCATCCATGCTAATTATTCAGAAAAAAAATAAGCCAGACTGCAAAATATATATGCAAAAAAGGGTGAACTTGGTGGATAGTACCACCACAAAAAGGTCACTCAGTGGAGCGCTAGATTCAATATCTTACCCCTAATGACAATTGGGGAAATCAAATATCGCTTGTATGTAGGACAATAGGTCTAGAATAGAAAAGTGAGACATATAATGGTGCAGTATACCAATGCACTATGGATAAAATGTAGGGGGGAGTATAGATGCATATAATACGAACACAATAGGTGGAGCAATTTGCATACTTTCCTCTCTATTCAATCGGGTGAACAATGCTGCAAAAACAGAGGGGTATAAAATAGTGCAGATAACACAATATTAAATAGAGATATTACATATAAAAAATGCACTCACAAGAGTAGAGCCATATATTAAACCTGGCTATGGTGTGGATGGCCTTAGGATCTTTTTTGGGGTGATCCAAATCCCTCTGTGTGTGGTCTGGAGCACCAAAGAAGACCTCCACACTGATTTTATTATTGGTAGTTACTCATTGTGGTTTTTATTTATATATTTTTTTAATTCACAATTTATTTTTATTTTTTATACATACCATATGTGTGGATCCTCCACTGCTTCCTGCATCCTGATTCAAGAGGGGTAGTGCCTCCATTAAAGGCACATTGGCGTTTACACATAGAGCCTAGTATAACAGGCTCCAATTCAGGTGAGCACTTTTCATGCACTGCTGCTCTTGATTGCCCACTTGTATATACATATCTGCACTAGGATATTTTGTGTTTTCTCTCCATATATCCTTACATCTGTGAGCTGTATATCCGGAGGAGGTCTGGTATAACCATATATACCCAAGTTGTTGTGATTTGAGCCTATCTCCAGGCTCTTCACCATGTGAGTTGGATATATACTCCCCCCTACATTTTATCCATAGTGCATTGGCATACTGCACCATTATATGTCTCACTTTTCTATTCTCGACCTATTGTCACACATACAAGCGATATTTGATTTCCCCAGTTGTCATTAGGGGTAAGATATTGAATCTAGCGCTCCACTGAGTGACTTTTTTGTGGCGGTACTATCCCCCAAGTTCACCTTTTTTTGCATCTATTTGTGTAGGATTGGAATACCTGCACGTGTGTTGAGCTGCTTGTATATATACTACTGTTAAGCGCCTTTCTATATCACACAGACTCCTTGTTTTTCCTTTGCAAAATATATATATAATTTTTTAATTCCTTCTCACTTGATTGGCGATCCCAATGCCAAGAGAACGTGCCTGAAAACATGTTACAAAAATAATACATTTTATTGAATATATATCAGCCCATTTGGTTTGTCTGAATTGCCTTCCCTGCACTGTTTGCAGAGTCAAAATTATACCTAACTTAACCACCACATGGATGAGTTTCAGACCACCTGAAAAAAAGTCTCCCAAGTGATTTGGCTGAACTGATTCTTCACCCCCATGCCCCTCGATGCACAAGTTTAGGGTTTGCCACTCTTGTATGTAGTAGACAAGTCCTATGGCTACTAAAGTGTACAGATATAATTCTTTTGTTCACCCATCGTAGAATGCTGTGAAATATCATGGCACTTAAAATACACGAGAGGAAACGATGAAGCTCTGATGTTAGATGAGACAAGTATATTTCAAACCTGCACTTTCCCCAGCATAAAGATTTACCTACGTATATGGGACCTTCAACTGCACACAATGAAAAAAAACAAAAAACAGGAGTTTGATTTCTTGCAAAATATGTAACATTGAAGTCATTTTATTTTACACTTGCTTTGTAGTTATGTAACTATCACACCACCTAGTGGAAATAAATCATACTACACTTTGATCCACTAAATCAAGATTTAATATTTCAGTCCTACAAATTTGGAATGCCAGTTCTGACACTATGAAGCTTAGTAAAGAACCAGAAAAGTTTACAGCACAGTTGAGTAGTTTTTGGGAGGGTGATTACATGTATCCCCATCGGACAGTCAAGCTATTTTTGACAAGTCACCACTTAACTGTAGTTTAGTTCAATAGCTGGACTGTGCAAGACAATTCCCCACCCTCCTCCCCATCCAATGCTTGGTTGTTCTTGCTCTCTCACCACCCATCACATCAAGTTCAAAGCTAGATTTGCATTCAGTGGAGTGGTTATAGGAAATCAGAATGGATGTTCTCTACAGTAAGTGTAAGATTTGCATCTATGCTGAATACCTGATAAAACTAGTGGCACTCCATACTCCCAGCCTAAGAGGATGTTGCAATAGGAGGTGGTGGCCAAAGGAACATGCATGATATTGAGAGAACAGATGAACTTCCTGGTAAATTTAAACGCTTTGACACTCCACTGCCCAAAATAATTTTAAAAAAATTGGAGTCACTGTTTAGTATAAATTCCCTTACAAGCATGCACTCTCATTGAAGCATAGCTAAAAGGCATCTTGCAACAGTTGCAGATCTGTGTCCTGTTCTAACCCCGCCCAGTCTTTCTGTGGCTGTCCAATCCCAGACTTCCCAATACAGCTCAATGAGAAGTCTTTGCAAGGTAGATGCTCTGAGACCTAAAAGCAGCCTAGGAGAGGGGAGAGGGCAGGGCTTGATTAAGGGCCCGGGCAGACAATGATTACAGACTTTTATCGACCAAACACCATAACAGTCATAGCAAAAAGGTAAATAGATGCAGCAGTGGCTCCAAAAATGGCATCAAACTCTAATACTTAGATACCTTAACAATCCAAAGACATGTAGTGAAAAAAAAAGGAATTGCGCCAAATAACTAGGCAGTGCTGGTATTAATAAGGAATACAGTGGTTTGCAAGTAGTAACAGGAATTTATAGCTGGAAAGAATTTTCTTGGGGGGGTGTTAAGTAAACAAAAACACCCTATCCCAGCCAAACAATGCATCATGTCAGCATAGCGTTTATAGAGGTGGAAAAAAAATAACTTAATATTGAGTGTTATGTTATTGTGCACCCAGCAACAAGACAGGGCCAATATAATTCATTATATATTAATCCTTCAGAATGGAGGTTTTTGTAAACAAAACCTCCAATCTGCGCTGTTAACCATAATTCCATCTTCCATATTAAATGCACCCATACTGGTATAGAGTTTTGTTCATGAGAAACAGGGCTTTCCTTTCACATTAAAATATTTAGATATGAAAATCTAAAAAGTGAGAAATTAAGAAATTTTATTTTCTTAAATCTTTGCTGCATTTTAAATGTGAGTGTCAGTCAGCTGTTACTGCAATAAAGTACACATTTGTGTTCAGTGTCTCCCAAATACAGTAGTAACCCTCCCCTCCATATCCAGATATTGTGTTTTTGAAAGTTACAGGGCTACACAGTTTTCCCGTTTCTAGTTACACATTGAAATTTGCCAGGATTTGTTAAGTTGCCTTTGAGACTGTATGGCCACCCAGTAATAAACATTACCCTGATCTTGGCTTACATTTGAAAAATTAGACATTGCAGAGTATATTTAAAAAAGTGTATGTCCAGTCTTTAGTATCCAACCCCTAGGCAAAATTAGTGTTCATATTTATTTTACACATAAAAGCTGCACTTGAAGTGATGATTGTGATCCTATATGGTTCTTAAAAAAAAAAAAAAAAAAAACTCATTTGTATTAAGAGAAGTCTTAAGACATATTGTAAGGTGAAGTTAAAGCTTGCAAATTAAATTCTCTGGATTGAAATTTGTAAAGTTATATACATGTAGAATAAAAAAAAAAAAAAAAATTATATACACGGTATGTTTAGGCACACATTTATCTCTATGAATGCATGTTAAATGGGAACCTGATGATTCCATGTGCCATTTCTGTTTAATAGGAAGTCATAAGCAAGACTACCATATGCAATGTTGAGTGTCCTAAGTATTTGTGTGGCATTTGTCCCAATCATTGCAGCTGACTAGTATACATGAATCTTCCTTTCCACACCGCAGTTCTTTTGATTATGTGGTGTTACGGGCCTGTCAATGCAATAAGAAAGAAAAAAGAATTTGTTTTTACATCAAGACATTTATTCTTGATTGCACATACAAAGTTACATTTCTGCAGATGTATACACAATAGAAGTTTGTTTAGATTTGCCAATGAAAGCAGAGGTACAATAATGCACAATTACGTCAGATGGATTAAGGGTCAAACATCTTAGCCTAAAGATTTGTTCTGACCATTGCTCTGTCATCTTAGTTACAGGGATGACTGACAGAACCTCTACTGTAGATGGTTATTTCACAGAAATTGTAAATAAACTCTGTAGTTGTTGAGATTGTCCAACAAAGCAAGGAATGTAGTAACAAATCATGAGTGTAGTATGCCAGTGGTGCTCTGTGGTACTGGATTAGTCTAGCTTTAAAGACTGTATTTTGAAGGTGAGTCAGTCTGGAACTGCAGTTGTATCAAGTTGTTTTAGTGTTACATGTTCACTAGTGTCACATTCGGTTTTCTTTTTACAGAAAATCTCCAGATACCCATGGCTGCCACTGCTACACAGACCACAGCCAGTGCAGATACAATTCCAACCCACAATACACTTGTCATGACAGCAGATGCCCTGGACTCTAGAGATAAAGAGAGAAAGTGTTATTCAGGCAATAAGTTTAGTTTCTCTTTTTAGAAAGTGGCATAGTTTAAACATACCTCTCATTTTTAAATTTTCTGGAGAAACTCTGAAGTCTATAGGTCCATGAGAAGACACCATATTCATATTTGGTTGATACACATGCTTCTTTGATCTTCCTGATACAACTAAAGTCACAAAAACTATAGGGAGTGAGCGAGCATGAAAACACCTAATTTTTAAAAATAAAATTTAAGACCTTATTTATTTAAAAAGAATGTGATTAGTCAAGAGGGGGGGGGGTTTCCAAGTTAAGACCCAAAATAGCTAGATTTTACAGATGGAGAGGCCAGAAATTCTGTATTGGATGCTCAGTATTTGAGCTACACAAATCTTCAATTCTAGTTTGAAGCAGAAATTAAAGTTGCTTCAGCAACTTATCTATAATGGCAGGACAAAGTCTCCTTAACACATTTTAAGCTGCGATACTTACATCCGGTAGGACAGACTGTAGAGCAGGACTGGGTGGCAGACTGCGCACACACTGAGGCACTGCAGTGAAAATACACCTAGAGGGATACATTGACTTAATTAGCACCACAATCTACCATGCAATTGCCATGTCTTATATAGAACACCACTCACCAGTTTAGAGCAATTCCTCCAAGTGGTACACCCACATTCACTACACAAGAGTAATTAAAGTTAACTATGAGATCTGTTCCTTCTTACATTGCCTTGCAAAGGTTGTGATGTTGCATCTGTAAAGGTGAAAGTGTCCACGATGAACCGCTTGTAGTAAGATGGGAATTGTATACCGGAGGCAGACTGGTCTATAGAGGAAATCAATGTTGCGTAGTTGTCACCTGGAAATGGGCACCTAGAACAGAGTGTTACAGTTAACATTGATTGAGTCCTTGCTACATGTATCCTAGCATTTTCGAAGGTTATATTTTCCACCAAACCTTTTATTAAGGGGTTGACCGGCATTAACTGACTAAACACTAGGGAAAGTTTTACTGGTTTAGTTAAATGCCAGGGGAACCTGTAAGTTTTTCCAATGCAATAAGTGCTTACATAAGCTGACCTTTAGCTTGTTTGCACCATCAGCGTTACCAAGACTGCTTATAGGTCTGAATTAATTGTATTTTTTGGATGCTTTGTATCGTTTATAACAGGAGTCGTGTTAGGAACCAGAACCTTGATTTCTCTACAATGCAAAAAAAAAAAAAATCCCCCCCCCCAAAAGTTACATTTAAGCAGAGACCATTTTATAGACAAGGCCTTGAGAAAATAAGTCAGATTCAGAAGTTAAGAGGAACATGCAAAGCACCCTGACCACTGTGGTCCACTATATTGTTTATGGTACCAGGAGTGTACCGGTGGCCCCCACTGTAATTAATCCAGCCATTTTAGAACAGTGACTTCTTAACTAGGGTCTGCGTGGTGCCATTTCCTGCCTCAGACATTGAGTTGCTAGAAGCAGCAGTAAAGGGGGAATCCACACCACTTACAATGGAGCAACATGACAGTAATAGTTATTTTTTCAGTTAGCCGGACAGGCTCATACCATTTTACATGCAAAAGAGTAGGACTGGTTTGTTTAATTAGCTCCTTACCCATTCAGCAGAAGAGGCCACTGTATGGGATTAATGGGATTGACTGTTGGGGTTGCCCAACACTGCTGAAGGAACAGTACCAATTGTGGATCCACTCGCTGCAAGAGACGGACCTCCACAAACACTGGATCTCTCAGCACCTTTAAAATTGGATACTCTCCATCCGTGTAATATTGAGTATACCTAACATCTGCAAGAGGGATATTTGGTCAGTAGCCATAAAGTTGTATCTGCAGTGATTAGATTAGTAGGGATTTAGTTAGTGAATTTTATCTTGACAACCACTTAAGTCAAAGTTCTCCAACTCAGTTTATCTTTGCAAGTTGTTTATGATCAGTTTGTTTTTATTTAAAAGTGATCTTTAATTCACTAGTTGCAAGACAGTATCACAGTGTGTAGGTTAAAGAGGAACATAAGCTTGGAGACAGGAGCACATGTTGAGGGAAGATTTTGTAATGTTCCCTTAAAATGCTATAAATTTATGTTGTATTTAGGGACCAGCTGCAGCTATTTTTTCTGGTTACCTTTTGCAATCCTCAACTCCAGACTTAGCGGACCTTGACTGGTCACTCCTGGTGGTGGAGCGAGTGTAAAGACATTTACAGGTATGTGTAATGGAATTTGCATTTCTGAAGATAAACTGCAGCGGATGGTCAGCCTATAGAAGTTTGAACAAATTTACAGTTAAGTTATACTTGAACTGAAAGCATAGATGGTTAGCCACAAACAGATACAAGGCAGAAAAAAAAAGCCAACTTTGTTAGCAGTTTGGTTGTGCTACACGTGAAGTGACAGCTCTTGAAGAAGCATCTGAGTGCTCAGAAAGCAAGTTAAGCATCCATGCATACCAAGAATATTCACTGATATGGTAACTGAGAACTAAGTTTGAAAATATCCGAGTTGGCATCCACCTAAACACCCTCTGTTTTGTCCTGAATACATGAAATTCAGGTTATGGCAGTTCAACTGCCCCCATATCACCACAGCTCTGGTAGCTTGTATTTGTCAACTCACTCCAGCAGGAGGCATTTAAAGAGATTAAACAAGTCAAATGATCAGAGCAGGTTGTCACAGGAGGTACTGGTTTACCTGAAGGTGCTGTCTCTAGTGATTGAGGATCCTTGCCAGGTCTGCACTGCCCTTTTTGCCATGAGCTCGTTTTCATAGAAAAGGATACTGCCTACAAGCTGTGACAAGGAAGTTACAGTCAAACTACAGATCCCACAATATGCAAGAATTGAGAGAACTGGTTCAGCATTGTAGGTCTATCCACTTGCTAGTCTTTGTAGATTTCTCTGCAGTTAAATTCTGCACCACCCCATGATGTCTAACCACAACAAGATACATTGATTAATAGAAGGATAGATCAGGCAAACCTTAGAAGTTGTTCCACATGCAGAGAGAGGGAACTGGAAGAGAAGAAAGGAGTCTGTTGTGGTAGTTGGTCCACAGTTTGTGTCGATAGCTCTGGTCAGTTTCACTGCTCCCAGGTCAACATTCGGCAGGGTTACATATTTTGAGATTGCCACAGAGAAGATCCCATCATTTGTGCACTGGGCAGTCACTAAAATAGACAAGTCTTTGGTGTCAGGTGGGATTCTTACCTATTAAAGTCAGATATACAGTGGGTGGGAAATGACAGGTCTACACATGGACGAGTTTCTTATAAATTCTCTGAATTTGGCTCTTTATATTTACCAACATGTAGGAAGCTGCACAAAAACCAGTTCAGAAGGGAGGATTATTTTAAACCCCTAGACATGCAATGTCAGAAGATCAAATCTATTGTACTGAGTGTTAGACCAATAGACCAGATACATTACAGATGTGACTTTCATATAGACTTAAATTCACTGATGAATGTCTTGGAGGGATTGCTAAAGGGTTGTTTGTCAGCTATTACAGCATCCATTTCTAGAATGGGGACCTCATGGATTCTATGGCAGACTAATCTTGAGCCTGAGGAACACAGCAACCCACAGGGGACAATGGAGCATTTTAACACATACAAGCTTGCCTTTATTGCCGTAGTAGCAGGTATTCACACGGTCGCTGGGATCATAACAGCAACCCAGACTCTGACACTGATTACTGCTGACTGATGCGTTGCCGCAGAGGAGCCGCTCTCTCTTGTCTATGGTGGCACATTGACTGGGGCTTGGAGCATCCATGGCTGAAAAGATGAATTTTAAGAGCGCATGCACAAATGTTTAGAGTAAGCGACATCTAAAGCAATGATTTTCATCAGCCCAGTCTGAGGTACCAGAACGGTGTGGAATTGCTCAAATACGATGTGTGTTGGCAGAATTGAGCAATAGGAGATAACACTTTAAAGAGTTACCATCATGGCCAAATCCTTTAACCCCCTCTAAGCACCCCATATTACCTATTTTTCCCCCCACCCATCTTTGTTTTCTGCCCAGACCCATGTTCTGGGTGCCGCCATCTTTGTGTGGGTAGTTGAAGGCCCTGTGAGAATCCCATGCATGCCCAGTTAAAAACACTTGGGCAAGCGAACAGGAATTTCATCCATTCGTCAGAAAGACGAATTAATAGAAGTGTTAGACAAACACTGAATATCAGTGTTCAGTTTATTACAAGGAGGGAGCTACTGGCTCCAGGGGTCCCAAGCCCCTAGTCACCCCCCCAAAAAACCCACACACAAAAAACCCCACAACCCTACACTTCATTTATGTCCCCCCACCTCTGAGAAATGGGTGGGGACTAAACCCCTCCCATTATCCTTTAGGGCCCCCACCCAGATGTGGTACTAGGTTCCCCATATGAGTGGCTACAAGCTACTCACTGTTTAACAGACATGCCCCTACTCATGGTATTGTGAGCAGGGGCAGAAATTCCTAATACCAAGTAATCTTTACTTAGCATTAGTAAATGTGGCTGAGCCCAATTGAGGTCTTTCAGCCTTTTGGTAGCTTGCTCCCTGATACTGTGGGAATTAGGGAGTTATCTACTAAGCGGCTGCAAGATACAGCCACTCCTGAGTCGGATCAGAGTTTCCCCTCGAATGAAGTTGTGATCCAAATAAAATCTTGAATTGCGTCCTAACACGAATGGAGAAACTGTTCTTATTCTGTTAGGACGAAATTTTGCCGGCATCCTGTCTAAATGACAGGACGTTGAGCAATACTGACAGGAAGCCTCACAGGAACAGGGAGAAAAGCTTAGAACTGTGGGAAGATTTCTGACCACCAGAAATGAAGCACACTTTGCTCCTCTGCTGGTCAAGTGTAGGAAACCTCCATAAGACAAGTAGTCTTATGTTTTAAAGACAAGTAGAGCAGACAGGAAGAAATGAATAGATCCTGACAGAGGGAGAGAGGAGGAATTGATTAAAGAAAGGCAAGTTTGTCATGACAGTGCCGCTTTAACAGATGACAAGTTACATTTCAACAATCTTCCTAGCCAATAGACAGACTCCATACACTGAGTACATTAGACTGTGGTCCAAATTCATATTACCTTGGAATTCATACTTGGATTATACGGAGTGTTAGACACCCATTGCATCTAATCAGATGTACACTGCAAGGCTCAGCCATAGGACACATCAACCTTTATATTGTGCCTACTTACTGCACAGAACTTTACGTTATAGAGGAGGAAATTTAACACGCAAGACATTGATAAATTATAACAGGTTAATGGAGCTGCTGTTCCCCCGCCCACTCCTGTTTTCAGAATGGTGTTCACCATGCTTACACATTCCATACCTGGCCTGATTGGGCACTTCAGTTCTTTTTCCTCAGGGATCTTCCATGCCCCATAGTCATCTTTATAGGAAATAGTAAGGGCCATCACAAATGAGTCATCCTGGGGGAGAGACCATATCAGCCATTTTATAACAATATAGGAAGTAGTTTTGACTCAGTGGACTACAATAGGATCATTCTTGAGCAACCTGCACTTAGAATGAAGTTTGGTGCAGAATGAGTACAGCAAGGCACCAACAATTTAAAGGCTTACAAACAAAATTAGTGGACATTCTGGTTGAGAATACAAAATGCTATATTCTGATTGGCTAATCTCCATGCACTCATCCATAACATCTTACCCCAGAGTTTATAATTCACGTGCTACTTCAGGGGGCAACCAATGGTTGGCATAGGCACGCATTAGGGCACAGAAAACAGCCAAGTGAAATGCAAGGGAATGGCAAGCTTTTGGACAAATTGTCACCCTGATCATCTCTTGACAAGGTTTTAAATCTTCCAGTTTAGTGATCAAACAATGCAAGATCATGGAGTAAAACCTAGAAATATTCAGAAAGAAATAAACCTACCATTTGGCTGACGTAACATCCATAGTAGGACACAGTAATTGTTAAAGAACCATCAGAATGTTCTGTTAGGTTGGAGCCACATGAAACATCTTCTGTTAATTCATGCAGACTTCCTTTAACTGTATAGAGAATACAGAGTAAATAAGAGTTTGCATGCATGTATCCTTAAAATTTGACTATAGCAACTAGGACTACAGCTTATTGTAGTTTTTCTAGCAAGTAGAATCATTCCATATAGGCTTTTTGCAGTAAACACCGTCTTCAGAGAAATGGCAGTGTTTATATTAAAGCCTAGGGACACCTCCACAGGCCACTCAGACTGCTGCTATAGGTGCTTCCTGGGGCAGTGCTGCACAGGGTGACTGACATTAAGTGTCTCCACGCTCTTCATTGAGATCTTTCCTTAGAGATTCATTGATTTACTTCATCTCAGATATGCTGATTGGCCAGGCTTGTGCTAACTGCACCTGACAGTCTCAGCCAATCCTATAAAAGCATTGGGATTGGCTCAGAACAGCACTTCTGATTATGTCAGCCAAGTAGGTAGATCAGGGGTAGAGCCAGCAGCTGCAGACCATACATTATAAAATCCACTGATGCAGAGGTCTTTAAAAATTCTATACTAAGCACAAGGCTGCTGTTGAAAGTGTAATCTTACTTATATCACAGAGGAAACAATGAGTTAGATATTTAAAGGATCACTATAGTGTCAGGAAAACAAAGTGGTTTTTCTGACACTATAGTGTCTTGAGGGTGTCCACACAGTCAGGGTCCCCCTCCTGTGGCGCTGAAGGGTTTTAACCCCTTCAAGCAGCTTACCTTATTCCAGCACCAGGCTCCCTCGGTGCTGGTGACTTCTCCTCCCCTGCCAGCTCAAGTGGAGCGGAACGTGCAGGCGCAGCAAGTGCTGCATGCATTAAAACAGTCCATATAAAGAGCATTTCTCAATGCTTTCCTATGGACGCTCTGCACGATGCATGCGAAATTCGCATCCAGCATCGAAGATGTGCCTCTAGCGGCTGTCACAAAGACGGCCACTAGAGGCTGGATTAACCCCAAGTGTTAACAGCAGTTTCTGAAACTGCTATGTTTACATGTGAAGAGTTAAAACCTGAGGGACCTGGCACCCAGACCACTTCATTGAGCTGAAGTGGTCTGGGTGACTATAGTGTCCCTTTAATCTACAGAAGCATTCACTCAAGTTTCATATGTACAAAACATTAGGTCTCTGTTTGGATCAGTGTGCAAGGACATCCAGATAGCCATGTTATGTACCCAATGCTACTCAGATGAGCATTGAGGACCAGTTGTACGGTGAGCACATTCCAGCTTCCTCACAGAAAAAAAAAATAAATAAATAAATAAATAAAAAACAACCCCAACACAATGCTTTCCCATGGAGGGCTCTGTGCCTGTCAATATGATTGGTCTTATTGAAACATGACATCCAAGTATAGGAAAGAGATGGGACATTTAAAGCGTAAACTACAGCAAGGTTGAGTATAGCATACAATTAGTGATACAGTGTGGCGAAGGGGTGGGGGAAGAAGTCAGTTGACGCCTAGTTCTCTTAACTAGATTAAAGATTCAGAATGCAGCACAGACAAGACAGAAGCATGGTTTAGTTTCTGCACTTGAAATTGCATTTTCTAGGGCATAAAAGCTGAACTTAATGGACCAGTCTTTTGAACCCATTTTAATATTTAAGTTTTACATTCTGACCGCCAGGTGAAAAGATGGTGTTTACAGCTATGATGGAGACACCAAGTTGGAGGATAAGAAGGGGTTTGGATTTCTATAAACCTCACAAATGCATATTAAATATAATAAAGAGATCGAGAGTCAGTGAAAGGACCACTCCCTTAAAAGCAGAACATGTGCTGGTCTTCAGGCCTACTTTAAAAAACTGTTTTACAACTATGGCCTCTTATGCAAGAAGTATTACAGATTCAGAGGCAAAAATGTCCTGCTATTCTTTGAGCCCAGCCTCCACTAGCTTGTTGAAAAGTATAAAAAATTCAAACACTTACCCATAATCATCAGTTTAGGGAATGAATCTCCAATTTGGCTCTTAGGGATTGTATACATGAACCCATCTTCTCCACAAGTTAAACCATATTCTTCTGTATCCTTCCCATCCAACATCCCAGGACGGGCCAAGACTAGCACTAGGATCAACCAACCCACCATTCTCCAATGAGCCATTTCCAAAGACCACAAGAACATGTGTTAAGGACTGGTAGGGGGAGAGTCTTTAAACTAACATGGGAGGTAGAACACCTGCAACTCCTGATCAAGTAACTCAAGTGCATGATTGCTATAAGAAGGAGCATCAGGTTCAAGTTATCCTTGATTGCCATCACCCAATCCATGCAAATATTTATCTAAGAAGATTACATTAATGGCTACAGATATATAAAGTTACCTACTGTAGAAGACATATGTAGGTGCTTTAGCACTCCTGTTCAAGCATAATTTTCCTCATTCTAACACTGAACGGGACTATTTACTAAAGTGAGATTTGTTAGGAACTCAAAGTGAATTCAGAGTCAAGGCCAGAGTAGCTGAGTTGGAAGTATAACTAACTTGGAGAATTGTTCTAATTCATCTATTTTGGGCTTAAATTTGAAATTCACTTTGAATGGCCTTAGAATTCCAGACACTTCTCTCTTTTGTGAATAACCATGTTTCACTAGACCTGATTCATGCTGCAGGTAATACATATTGTCATGTAGAAGAGCTTTAATTTTTTTCCATTAAAGTATTCATTTAATCTAAAAGGGGGTGAGACATATGACCATGTTTTGCATGGACATGGTAACTAAATACAATGCAAAATGCAATTTAGCCAGTGACAAAACAAACACACACACATATTATTATCATTAATTTATATATATTTTATTCATAAATGTTTATATATACATATATATATATATATATTATTATTTTTTTAATGTAAGCCCATTTAATGTATTTAAGCTTGTTTATTAATAGTGAATTTTGGTAAATTAAACTGTAGTTAAATATAAATGATGCAGTGTAAAAATTCTCCGGTTCAAATGTTTTTTTCCAGCTTGGCTAATTTGGCCTGAATTTCGATATCCTGTTTTCAATTCACCATAATCACTGTTCAGTGAATAAACCATTTTATATAAGTTTAGATATATGTGTGTGTGTTGTACAGCCACTGAGGGTTGTGATTCTTTGAATAATAAAAATGACTAAACATTTAATATGGATACAATGGAATATAAGGTTACATGCTGTTTCATACCCTGTATGGGAGTCTCCATAAATCACAACGGGCATTATACACTGCCACATACGGCATATTTTTCTAAAGTGAGAATTCACAGTGTGTTTCAATGTAAAGGCCAGCGTAGCCAAACTGAAAGCCGAGCTGACTTAGAGAATTTTTTTCCCCATTTTGGCTGCTTTGATCCTAAATTTAAAATTCACTATGAATTCACTTTAGTAAATAGCTCCAAAGTCACTTTATATAAAAGTATTTCTATATACAAAAGAGACACTCCAGGCGCCCTCATATGTCACATGCAGAGTGTACGTTTGTTTACAGCTAGTTATGATAGGAGTACAAACATAACTATTATTAATATTAGAATGTTCCTTACTTGGCATACATAGAGAAAGAGCACGTTACAGGGTTAGTTACCAAACTAAGAATTGTCTGGAAAGAAACATGGATCTCACTTTTAAACGGATACTACAAGTGCCAGGAATACAAAGTTTGCGTCCCCCCACTCCTCCTCCGCCGCGGTGAATAAAGGGTTAAAAAACATTTATTTACTTACCTGATCCCTGCTCCTACATCCTGTGATGAGCAGGCGCTAATGCGCATGCACGGCAAATGCTGCACATTGGACCTTCCCATAGGAAAGCATTGAATCAATGCTTTCCTATAGGGAAAAATCTGTTTCGATTCAGGAAGTGCCTCTATTGGCGCTAGGGACACTGCACCCAGACCATTTCAATTTAGTGTCCCTTTAAGTCCAAAATAGCCGATCTGGCAAAATTGTCCAGGTCATTTATGTTTCCAGTTTGGCTACTTTGGTCTTAAATGTGAAATTCACTTTGAATTCCTGACAATTCTCACTTGAATAAATAACCCTGTTAGTTTTTTCAGCAAGCTAACGTGTTATAGGTATTTGGAGTATTTTTTTAAACCACATAACAATTACTTTCTGTAAAACAATGACTTTTATGCCAAACGTCACATGACTCTGTATATTCTGTTTACCTTTTATCTAGGTTATGTTCTCTTTCAAAATTGTATTAAATATATATTAAAAATTTATTAAAAGTTAAAATACAGGTTGTAAAAAATAATAAAAACATTTAATTAAAGCATATAGGTAACTAATCAGGACTGGTGGGAGGTATGTACTACTAGACAAGGGTCTTAACCAATAAGAGGACAAGTGTTTCCCTCCAGAGACAAACAGTAAACTAATGAAGTCCATGAACAATTGAGGTCCAGAGTTAAGGTACCATGATTGAGGACAAGTTTTTCCAACCAGAGACAAACAGTAAACTAATGAAGTCCATGAACAATTGAGGTCCAGAGTTAAGGTACCATGATTGAGGTACCCTGATGTGTCTTAGGGTACCCATATCTGCTCAGAGAAGGATTAAGATCTCACAGGGTACTAGGCAACTCGCCAGTGTAGGCAGTGCTGTCTTTGTGCATGGGCAAGCCACACAAGCGTAGGGGCCAATGGAAAGGAGAGATACTTTCATATTCCTTGCTGGTCCTTGCAGAGCACTTCCGGGCACTTCCCTGCAGCAAGTGGAGGTTGGACCTTGTAGGCTGTGTGTTCCTCCGGCAAGAAGGCAGTTTTGAGCATTGCCGCAGCAATGCTTCAACACAGCACTTAGTTAACAGGAAGACAAGAGATAAGTGAGAAGTGCATGCGCCACAACAGGACCACCCGGCAGTGCAATGTCCCCCTTCCCTGGCAAAATGTAAGAAGAAGAGTAGAGGGGCAGTAAGTTTTTTTCAATAAAAAATATATGCATTAGCTCCACACATACTGCACCACTCACGCACTATACCCCTCACACACTGCACCACTACACACAATATACCCCTCACACACTGCACCACTACATACAATATACCCCTCACACACAATATCCCCTTCACACACTGCACCACTCACCCCCTGTACCATTACACACACTATACCTATAATAAGGGCCTATAATGTTGTTGTAATGCCCATGAGTTTAGGGCCCCTTCATTGTTTACATAGGGATGGTCAGTGGGGCCTCTGGCAGAAATGACTCAGCCACGTGTTCTTGGAGGGGCCTGCTTGCCAGCCTCCTGCCAAAAGACTATGAGCCCTATAAAAACACATGTGAATTTTGTCCATAAAGAGAGACTGACCGTTGGCCCTAGTTCCCTGGAACTGTTTTGGGCATAGGACCATGTGCACGGTCGGTCAAAATTATGACTACCATGGAAATCCCGAACCCCTGAACCGATCTGGGTGATTATCGGATATGTTGGTTCCCCAGATCGGGGCTATCAGGGGATATGACTTTTGTGGAGTTTCCAATGTGTAATAGGGGTACTTTGGGGGTTTTATTGTATTGCATGTTTTTCTGTGCTTGGAGATAATTGGATTAGATTAGTACAGTTCCTGATCCAATTATCTCCCAGGCACAGGGGTGGGATTATTTTATTATGTATGGGAGTGACCTGGATCTGAGATCCAATGTAATTGTGTATTTGTTTCTACTGTGGTTTACTCTCAGGTCCAGGGGGGAGTGCCCCTTGCATGGGGACCTGCATATAAGGCCAGTTGTGGCTACCATTAAACAAGTTCCGGCTTACCCTCAACATAGAGGCCTTCCCACTGGGAACTGGATCCAGGAGTTTGGTCCAGGGTTGGAAGGGACGGCGAGACCACAGCCAAGCTGTGGTGGCCAAGGCGCTACGGTGCTTATGGTGTCTGGTGCGGTGCTTATGGTACTCGGTGACAGCTAGGAAGCAGCGATTGGCGGAGGCACCCAGTTAGGGTGCCAGGCGGTCCACCACAGGGCCGAACAAATTCAAGGTACAGGGGACACGGTCTAACCCCTGGGCACTAGGTGGCTTCCTAGGGTTCCCTTATAGTTAATCCTGCTCTGTCAGCTGCCACAATGACATAAACTGTGGGTTCTTCTTACTATAGCACTATATTAGAGACACAATAACGCAATACAAGGCACAAGTAGTGTTTTAATGGACCCAAAAGTGTAGTCCAGGATTTTTTTTTTTTTAAGACCATCAAGTGGTTTCAGGCATCTATTCTTTGTCCCTGTAAAATGCTTTCAAGCAGAGGCTCAGGATCTTCTTTAATGCTTTTAAGTGCTTTTAAAATGGAAATCACAGCAGAACACATTAACTAATACAAATACAAAGTTGCGCATTCATATACGCTTGTGGTTTGTGAAATACGTTTTTCTTTGCATAGTTACATTTTACACCAGGATAAACTTTAAAATCAAAGGCTTCATCCAGCCTATTGAAATAGGGTGTGATTTAAATGTATATATAAAATGCACTCTAATAGTATACACACAGAGGAGGCATATATGCTCGGAATGGTTGCATTAATATTCTCTAAAATAATGTCATTTTATAATTTACCAATAGGTGGCAGTAAACACTTGCTGTAACAATGTTGATTTTAGTTGCTGGTGCTGTATGAGAAAGATAAGACTTTTGATAGAGTTAAGTAATCACAGAGGTGAAAAGGCATTTGACTTAAAATAATAAAAAACATCAAAATTTTAACTAAAAAAAAAAATACATTTAGCTTGCTTTAGTTTGCAAGTACATTCTGGAGGTCAATATTTTTTTACTCAACTAGTTTTTTTTCTGATATTCAATTCTAAGATTTCAGTTATAGGGGAGCTGTCATAACCCCTGCTAGCAGTCAGGGCATCGTCAAGTTCTAGATAATGGAGGGATAGAACACACAATTATTCCTTCTTTATCTGATGAAGCACAACAAGTGACCAAGAAACAGTTTACAGAAAAGTATTAAATTAGGTTTGCGTGTAAAATATTTTAACACTGAGAGTAACAGACAAGTAAGTGAATTTTTAAAGAGGCACTCTAAACACCATAACTACAGTATCTCATTGTAGTGGTTATGGTGCAAATAGTCTGTGGGCCTCATTCCCCCTTTGGAAAGATTTGATGG